GTTACATTAGTGGGACATGGAGCACATCATTTGTTTTCTAGCATTCTAGTTGTTTCCTTGACTTCATGACGATGACTAAACGAGCTTCGAGTTCATAGGAATATTTTGTTTTCTTTTTTTAAGGGCACCAAAAATAAAGCAAGTGCTGGAGCAATGCCATAAAATACTATCAACAAGGATGCAGAAATTCCTCAGATATTATCTTAGGACAGTTTTCCCAACTTATTAAGTTTTTTTTAACATCTGAGAACAAGAAATAACTGTGGTATCTAGACTTGAGGTTGCCCCACAAAAGCCCAACGCTAGCTAGTCCTGTTCGGGCTTGACTAGTTCTTTATTTGGTCTAGAACCTCACACTGGAAATTTGTTTGCCTGCTAGATTTTGTGCAGCTTGTAAATCTACAGAGAATGAAGGAAAGCAGGATTTGTTAAATGCTTTATCGACAATCAAGTAGCCTCAGCTTTGCATATCCACAGATCTTCTTAAGAAGGACAAGTGTAAATTAAAACTATTCTTTACGCTCTGAGGGAGACCTTCTGTGGGAAAAGCTTGTTTCCCCTGAATTAGCTCATGCCTTTGCCTTTGAGACTCACAAGCAGAAACTTACTGTTGGCCCAACATCACCTGGAGGTCCTTTCTCGCCGCTGCTGCCTCGGGACCCTGTCACTCCTTGGAAACCCTGCAGCATTAATTACAGGATGAAGATAAGATTAATTATAAGATTAATTACAAGATGAAGATAAAATTCTTCTTTTCCTGTTTGAGGCTTACATCTCCCCAGGGTTGCAGGGGCACCAGTTTAGTTTGAGTTCAGAGGACTCCAGCAAGGGCGTTGGGTTTTAAGGTTTATGCCAGTGCCTCATCCAGCCAAAAATATGAGGTTTACAAAAATATACCAGGGATGAGTCATGTTCACATCATTTCCTATTACTGTTTCAGGTATGGTCAAGCCAGTAAAGTTCAGTTTTGCTCACAAACTGCAATGCATTTTTTACCCTGCAGGTTTCAGATCCTTCATTATATATTCAGATTATTTTAGACTTAGCCTAGGGCATAATCCTTTTCTCCAGCCTGCTAATACCATGCTGTTGTTTTTTTCTTTGAAAATCTGTGTTTGCCTCTAATGCTTTGCTGCAACAGCAACAGTAGCTTAGAGAAAGGGAAGTGTATTCTCTGTTGATCTCCTCTTTGTGAAATGCCTGTGCTCTTTGGAGCCACACAGGGAAGAAAAACAAACAACAATAATCACAGGAAGTATTTACCTTTACAATTTTCCAGCTGTTAGGTTTAAACTTAATGATTAACAATTATTTTGACCTGTGGAAAATGAAAGGAGCCTTCAAGATAGCACCAGAATGGTGTTCAGAGTCTGGTGTGAAGGCTATAGTGCTTTCCTCCTATTTAGAAAGCTCAGGTTCAATCCTGCCTCTTCCACATCTCCCCAGGATGAGTAAGTCACAGTCATGAGCTGCATTCAGACTTAGCTTCTATAAATACCCAACTACAACTACTATGAGGTTTTACACAAAGAGAGCTGTGAGCAATAGCCACTGTACACTATTCAGGACGGCCAAATTTTATTATAAGCCAGTAGTGAGACTCAGTAACTATCAGGTCCCTATACTCCATCATCTGTAAGTACATTTGGTTCAGTTTCCTATGTAATGTGAAGTGAAGCTATTTCACAAAACTTGGGAGGGGTGTTACGCCTTCAAATTAGCAGATGGATGCAAATTTCTCAACAAATCTTAAGGTTCTGCTATCGCGGGCACAAAGAAGAGTATAAATATGCCTGCCAACATAGAGCCCTGATCCAATGGGTACTGGAATGGGGGTTGAGGAATTCTCTCACATCTGCCTGCGCCCTCCAGCTCCAGCTAGTGATTTCAGTGTGACAACCCCTGTACACCCTAAACTCACCCAATAGCTGGAAAAAAAAGTAGCAGCAGGAAAGCAGCAGGAGTAAAGCAATCATCTCCTTCCTGCTTCAAGGCCTCCCCAGAAGATATCTTCCAGAGGGGAAGCTAAAGGCATCACTCCTTACATTGACAGCACCAGGAGAGATGCACTTGTGAAAATGTGCTGGGGTATAACCCTGAGATACTCTGAGAAGAGGTTCTACGCTGACATCTCTGGATGACAGCTTGTCAACAAACCACAGGCTCTTGCTGAGGAAGAGTTTTCAACTGCATCGCCCAGGACAAGTACCTACCCTTGGTCCAGGTGGTCCGGGGGGCCCAGCTGTGCCTTCTAGTCCTCTCACCCCCTGCAAAGCCAAATCCAGTCACACATTAACAAGAGGATTCAAAGAGAGCTGGTAAGCAATAAGGTGGTTTCTCCACATGCTGTTTTTAACAGGAGCTTGCCCAGAATGGGTAAAAATACACCTGCCAAGCAGACAAGAAGGTTGCCACCTGGTCAGTCATGAAAATTTGGCCAAACCTGAGATGACCCAATATCTTTTTCTCCAGTCCCTTTGGCCTGGTGAAAGCATAATTCAATTATGCACTGAGTGCACAAGGAGAGCTGGATGTTTTGGGTCACTGCAAGTATACTCACATTTGGATTTTAGGTGCCCATGCTTGAAAACTCAGAGATGAGGTATTTTACCTTTGCACCTTGAAGACCATCCCTGCCTGGAGCTCCCTGCACACCAGGAATGAGTAAAATTGGCATCTGATTACTATTTCTCTACTTCATATTTTGTAACAGGGGACATAAAAAAAAAAAAAAGAAAGATGGAAAAAGAGACAAGAGTTATTTGTGGAACAGAACAATCCATGCCATTCCATCTTTAACCTGCACTGTCTCCAGGCTTCCAGATAGGCTCTTTTTTCTCCCACCAACTGCTTCAGTTTCCCTTTTCCCCCTACATTGCACCCTACTCTGAAAGACTGCTTTTGATAACAGAGTTCTTAGGCGCTTTGCAGACACTATCTCCTGCCTCTTCTGCTCTGAGGATTCTTGGGAAACACCAAAGCAGAGAGCAGGCAGTCAAGCTGACTTTCCCTCCTACCTCTGTTGCTGATTTATAGTTCATTTATGGCTTGCTTATTGGAGACCGTCTTATTGCTCTGTGAAATAAGTAGGATACTTGCCCCTTTGGAAGACTGAAGCTATGGATGACTGTATGCCTAAAACTTTAGGAAACAGGAGTAGACCAGCACAGGAAGATGGGGTGATGACAGTCCAGAGTGAAAGACTTTCAAAACAGATAACAGTAAGAACTCCATTGCTTTTCAATCTTGCTTAAATTAATTACCAGGAAAAAGGGAGAAATCTTTAAGACAATTTAAAGGAATGGTGTCTACTATTACCTGCATGCCAGGACTTCCAGCATCTCCTTTCTCTCCTTTAATTCCTGGTGGTCCCTTGGATTAAAACAGAAAGACATAGTTATGCATGCTGCAGCATCCTTTAAGGAAAACAGTATCCTGCCTGTTCCACACCCACTTCCCAGTTTGCTCATGCTCTCTGAAGCACTAAAAAGAAGTTTTGCAATCACAGTATGTTCACGGGAATTCTGCCATACTGTTACAGACATGCACATAGTCGCCTCCACCTGCGTTCCTGGCCTAACAATGATGACCAAGAAATGCCTGAACACTCCACTGAGCTGTTATCATTAAAGGTACATGAGGGAAAGTCCGGATAAGAGAAGTCTTTTGCCAGAACAACTAAGCCCAAGGCCTCACCAGCATGAAAAAATAATCATCATCTTTCTCAGTGCAGCTGCCCACATGTTAATAGGATGACTTTTTTTTTTTTTTTTGGTGAGATATATTCTTAATGCAAAGAATAAGTGACAAATAAGGCAGTGGAAGAGATCACATACCACAGGACCCTGAACCGTGATCCCTTGGGAACCTGGAGAGCCTTGCTGGCCGCTAGGACCCTCTGGCCCCACTTGTCCAGGTGGGCCTGGTTCACCCTAAAGCCAAAGACATGAAATCAAACATAAAGAAGAAAAGCAATTAGAGCCTATCCTCCGAAAAGGCTGCACCACATGAGCTGGGTCAGCACGATCCCTCTACCGCATTCAAGATGGAGAATTCAGGATGGTGGGAATCTCTAGAAACCTCAGCTGCCTTTGCCTTTAGGTCCAAAGTTCTAGTGCCCCATCCACAGGAGTCAATGGCAAAGCGCCACACGGTGCCTGGCAAAGCAGGATTCACCCTCCCAAGCAGCAGATCATTCCAGCTATTCAAGATGGTCAGAAAACAAAGAAAAACATTCCTTAATCTGTAGATGAAATCTGCATCTATTGTCATTTTCTCTCCAAAATGTTTTCCCCTGTAACTCTGCTTTCTTCTGAGCGGTTACCCCCAAAGAAGGGAAGAAGTAGGTTGGTCTGGCTTTGCTGTGCATGGGTTAGCAGAACAGTGACTTCAATGTGCTAACACTTCAGTTAGGACTTGCACTTCCCCGCATTTAGGAAGCCCAGTCATTCCTTAGCTCACCTCAGAACTGTTCCTGAAGTCTCTGTGTGGTTCTTGGGCGGTTCACACCTCGCAATAGTTTGACCAAGAGCGCTACCAACCTAGGTGCGCTTGGCAGCTAGATCAAGCACAGCACAAAGACTGACCATTTTCCAGAATGGCTGCTTTCCAAGAACATTGCTGATCACATTGCATTAATTCAATTCAATCAGGCCCATCATCTTAATTTCTATAACCTAACTGAACATTTCATTAACAATAAGTGATCCCGTACTCCTCAACACATTGGTTCTTAAGGCCCTGAGTGGGCTCTACTTGGTGCAGTGAAACAGGGAGAGGAGTCAGAGGAATCAAGCTCAGACCTGGAACAAACATATCCAGCAAAGGATGTTTGTTCCTCCTAAAGGAGGAGTTTGCACTCCTGTATCCTTCCTCTGAGGTAACCTGAAGTAAATGAAAGCCAAAGGTAGTGCTGAGTTTCAGTACTCACCTTGGGTCCCGGCTCCCCTTGTTCCCCTTGTGGTCCCCTCCTGCCAGGGCTGCCCTGCCAACAAGGCACAAAGCTGCTGTTATTAATAATAATATTTTTATTTCGATGTAACAAAGAGCCTAGGGGACAGAACTTGGCCCTTTTGCTGTACACACACAATGAAAAGACAATCCTTGCCCTAGAGAACTTGGAGAAAAAGGGTACAGGAAGAAAATTAATCAGCCATTCAGTCAGTTTGGAAAATGGCAGGAAAGACAACAGTGCGGCCACCTGCACCACAGGCAGTGCATACACCGCACCCATCATCCACAGGAAGAGGTGGAGTTTCGATCTGTTCAGACCTCCTCCCTCCCACCAGTAGAGCCAAGCTGAGACAATGAATGGAGAAGGGCTCAGACAGGAACATGGGAATGCAACAGAGAAGAAAGAAAGAGGGGCTCTTGTTTACATCCCTTTAGGCCAAGGCTCTTTTATGTAACATCCTCCGGACAGAACACGCACACGCAGAAATCAGGGACAGTGGCCAACTCCAGGGAGACCCAGCTTAGCTCTGCATCTGCATAAGTGCTGGATCTGAGAGAAAACTAATCTTCTGGCATAAACTAATACTGTGTGAACTTTTGACATCTTAATCTGAAAGTTTCTATTCTTGAATCTAAATAACAATGGATTTGGATTAAGAGGTACATCCAGGAAGCTTTGCTGAAGGTTCTTTCAGAAATGCCCAGAAGCTCATTTCAGCAGTTAGTTTGGCCTGCTCAAAAACACTCGTTAAGAAAGAGCGATAACTGCAAGGTGGGAGATAAATCTTGCTAACTTTAAGCTACTGGAGTTTTAAAAGTAGCAGTGAGTGCTCACATAACTGCAGCAAATTACTGAGTTTGATGGTGTGAGAATAAGGTTACGTGTTATAACTGTATTTTCTCTAATGCTCAAAAGAACCCAGCTCTTAAGAGTTGTGCTGCAGAGATGTTTAAACCATAGGGCAATGCAAGATGGTAATTATGCACTTAGTATATCGAAATATAATGTGATGATACAGTGTGCTGTGTAATTAAACTTCCACTGGAATGAGCACGTAATTACTATGCAACAAGACACTGCTCCTAGCAAAGTGGGGAACTGATTTCACAGTAAAACCACAGTATTAAAAAAGATGATCTAAAACATCTCCCCTTGAGCAAGGAGGCCATTGTTGCTTAAATGGTTATTTTTCAGGAGAAAAGTTCCTGGCATGATTGAAAGTGGCTGCTGTGGACAGGATTTCAGCCCTCAGCTGCCATGTGCAAACACAAATGTTTCCATTCACGCTTCAGACATGCAGACATTTGCTGTGGACTGAACTGGCTGCCCTTGCTATTAAAGCATGGCCAGGTAAGTTACCACTGGCCCCCAAAAAGCTTCTCAGTGAATCCTAGAGGAATGGAGTCAGGAAGAAGCTGGGATGGCTTCTGGTCTGTCTGCTTGTTCCAAGGCAGGATCAGCTCCACTTACGTTGTTCTTTAATCTCTTCAATGCCTCCATTAATGGAGATCCTACAGCATTTTTGCACTGCCTGGTCCTGGGCTTCACCAACTTTACCGCTGGATAACTGCTTACAAGTGTCCAATCAGAATATTTCTTGCTGCCGTTTAACCCATGGTGACTTTCCTCTGTCCGTAACGCATAGGGCAAAGGACTGAGTTCACCCTTTATCCCAGAGCATGTTATATCCTTAAAGACTATTACCATATTCCCCTATTTCCTTCAGGGTTTTCTTGCAGGTCATATCCTCTGTAAAGAGAGAGTGTTTGGGAGAGAGAGAGGATTGTAAAGCCTCCTCTTTCTCTTTACACTGCCCACCTATGCAGACACTTGCAGTCTGGTCTGAACCCAGCCTGCCCATGAGCCAGTGGGGTGTAGAACAAATCCAGTTCCACAGACACACTCCAAAGCCCTCCTGCGTGGCCCAGCCTCAGAGCAGTGCACAAGGCAGCTGCGTATCACGGGCAGTCTTGGCTTACTTTGAACAGAGGTCTCCCTGCAAGCATCTGTACAGACATGCTCCAAGTGCATTGAGCTATGAAATGCAAAATATGTGGTTAAAAGTAGTCCATTTTGCATGGGAGGTGAAAGGCAGATGGATAAAATCAGCTGCTGAGGGCCAGATTCTTTATTGACACCCATTTGCGTGGGCTTGTGCATTGCAGAAATGAGAGTCTTCGCCAAGTGTCTGCATAAGGCTCCCAGTTAACAGAGGAACCAAAATTTTTTTTTCCATTTACAAAGAGTTTCAAAGCCTCTCATCCATAAAATCTCTGCAGCAGCACACACAGAGGGCAGTCAGTCTTCCTCCCATAAGAGGATTAATGTGGCCTTAGGAAAGGCTCTGCTTGCTCCCAGCTGTAGCTGTTGCCTTGCCAAAGTGCCATCTCCCCACCTCATGACCATAGGAAACCTGCAGGGTACCTCTCCACTTCAGCCTTTCACTGGCAAGAGGAGGACCTTAATGCTCCCTCAGACTGGGACATCAGGGCAGGAGCTAGCCTGCCAAGCCGAGACTTCACCTGCTATTCTGAAAAACAGCCAAGAATACGCACAAAGAAGCAAAACTCCATCAGGCAAAGCTCTGGGGTCTGTGCTGAGCAGAGAAGAGCTGCCTTCCCCTTTAATCAGGTCTGAGATCAAGATAGGAGACAGAAAACAAAACCTTGTGGAGGCCATGATCATCCAACACACTACAGTCTTGCTGCAGTAGGGTGTTGACCTCTCTCCATTTACCTGCCCAGCTCTTCACACCTGGCTTGCCTCTGGGTGCCCGAACAACATGAAACAATGCCAACATGTACAATATACTTCTTTCTAGGAAGACACAGACGGATAGACTTACAGGGGGCCCTGGAGGTCCTGGTAAGCCTGGGAGGCCAGACGTACAAGTGCAGGCGGGAGATAAGGTAGGGCAGGTCTCTTCATCTCTCTGAAACAAAGGCAAGCCAAGGTTGCATGAGGAACTGCATAGCAAGAGCGGAATGGATCCCAGGTAACACTTTCAGTATTTCAAAATTCAGTCTTTCAGTTGGAGAAAAAGAGAAGTTTGCTCCAGCCCACTGAGAGAGTTTTGTGCTTTATTTTTCTGTCAAATAACAAGTTGATGCAGAAAATTATGGATTAGCTCTGTTTGAAATTTGCATAGCAAACTGGAAGATAATTTGCTCCTTGCTAAGTGCTTACAGGCCCAACAAAGCACTCAACCTCATATTCCTTCCTGTTTTGGGAAAAAAATTTGAATAGTAGAGCAGGGGGATGTTGTAACTCAGGGCTGAGGGGTGGCAGCAAAGCTGTATGGTTGTTGGGGCTGCTGTCATAGAAGAGCTCATGACAGAAAGGATATACACTGCACTGTGATTTGAGGAGTTACCTTGCCTTTTGAAACAAACAATTTTGTTCACCAAGAAACATCCTGTTGGTATTCCCAAAGGATGAAGAAAAAAATGGTTTCCCTTTTGTGTCTACCAAAATCATTCGCAGTGTCACCTCCTTCTGCATGGTCTTGTTTCATCATCCCCAACTTCATCTCAACTAGCAGAGTGGTCCCTTTTGTCTTACCAATGCAGGAAGATCACAACATCTGTCTTCCTCTGCCCCTAAACTGTTGCACACAATCCGCAAAGACTGCAGCTGGAACTGTGGGAGAAAAGGAGAATTTGACAAGAAGGTAGTGCTGGCATAGTTAGTCCATCAAATCACCTTCAGGTACTGAAAATAACCTTCACCGGTGATCTGACAGGACTCATCCATGTTGTCTCAAGTGCCATTAGGCAAACAAAGCTGTCCTATGCCCCATGGTCTCACCTTGACAACCATGGGGGGCAGATCCCACTTTGACACCCAGCCCTCATAAACTGCCATGCATTTCACAGCTTTGTATTAGGTACTGTGGAAGATCAGGACCAAACTAGCCTCTAGCCCCCGCATACTCTCCTTTCCAAGGGGCAGCTATATTAAATGTAGACGTGCTTAATGCATAATGTAAAAAGTGTCACTGGCCACTGAGTGATTTACAAGTCTTCAGGTCTCTGAGTCTTGCTAAGTCGATACGCAGCTTCACTCCAGCAAAAGCCAAGTTTCCAATTTACTCAGAGTTCTGCAGCAGTGGCAGGTCCTCAAGTAATTGGGCTTCAGCATCACCAAACTGTGAAAATAAACTTTGCTTTTGTCGCTTCTCAAGGGAATGGAGATAAGAGCAAAAGTGGCAGCAATGCCTAGGAGACAGATTCTCCTCCCAAGAACCCCTCATCCTGTCTTTCTCACCATATCCCTCACGACTGCCACATCTTCCTGTTTTGATTAACAAAGGAACACATACTGCACAAAGCTAGACAAAAATAATGAAGCAGAGAGATTTTTCTTCCCCTTCATACTATTTCTAGTGGTTTTTTTCCTTCTATTCCATGCATTTAACAATGAGTAAGCTGTTCAGTCAAGGGAGTGTGACATGCAGCATACAGATATAGATGAGCCCTGTAGATCAAGCAGCATTTAAAGACATCTTAAATTAAATAAGGTTCCATGATAACCAATAAACGAGGCACTCTGTCTTCTCAAGGGCAGTAGCGCTGGAAAGATGTGAAGCTTTGCTAGGCTTGAAAGGCAGCGGAAGTAGAGAAGGCATGAAGCTGTTCATTACCGTTTCCTCAGTTACGAGATCTGTCTAGCCAAGCTGTTAGCAGGGAAATTTTCAGAGGGACAAGGTGAGCACAGTTTCTTTCCTCCTTGGCAGCTGTCTGACAGGCTTGCAATCAGTCTAAACTACTACAGCATTTATTTAGCAAATGAGTACTGCTTGAATCTCAGTGTCCCCTGGTTTCTTATACAACTGCTCCAATACCTTATAGACAATTCCAAAAACCATTTTTTCCATGGCATATCCCAGGCTTCTACTTTTTTCTTTGCAAGTGGTTGGAGAGGCACATGGGACAAGCTGATTTTATTATGCTGCTTTTACACAAGGAAGTTGCAATCAACTGATACTGCTACTTTCTCCCAAACTCTTAGCTCTAAAAGCAGAGTCAATGAGTAGAAGCATCACGTAAGTCATGAGTGGTTTTCTAGTCCCATTCAGCACATTATGAGCAATGAACTTGCCCCTTTTTCTGGATACACTTAACATTCCTATCGTGTAGGATAAGGATGGCAACAAACTCCCAGGTGATGGCAGGTACAGATGCTTTTGCCTTTAGGATTGTGGACTGTGCTGTCATAGGACACAACATCTTGTCCACAGTTTCACTTATTCTTTCCTCTTGTAAGGACGCAGGATCTCTGCAGTGCTGTGCTATGTAGTAAAGGCATGCCCACAGACTGGCACTGCTTGGTTTGTTTTTTAAAGCAGCAGCTGACAAAGAGCCTCTAAACTGAAGTTTGTTTTTCCATCATTTGCGTGCAGATACGCAATCACAAGCACACTAGAGACACAACCAGACCTGTTGCTCTCAGTCACCAGCATTTCCTGTTGTCACTTGGTAGGGGTTGATGTACACAGCCTTCACATTTAGAAGCAATTCCCTAACTCCCCTAACTCATCTTCAGCCTGTTAGGGCAGGATTTGTATTTTCCCTAGTCCCCAGAGTACGTAGCGTCATAGTGCAATGCCCCCTGCTCTGAGCCCAGCTGAAGGCAGCTACACCACACTCTCATACTCTACTGCCTCTAATCAGAAACCTCAGAGGTAGGAGGTGAGGAAGAGAGACATTGCACTATGCGCATTAAATCTCAGATCAGTGGGATCAGCACACTGTCCTGTGCCGCAGCAGCGTTAGGAGGCATTCAGAGAGAGAACGATGCGAGATGGCAGTTCTCTCCCTCAGCCCACCCCAGCCAGCTCCATATTTAAGCTCCCCACTTTCCAAAAACATGCATCACCAAGGGTCTCACCGATGCTGATCCACTCCTTGGCCCTCTGGTCCTTGTCACTTTTCCCAGTATGATGAAGCCAGCAGTGGAGATGCTACCAACAGTGTTGATAGGTTTCTCTGCTATTTTCTTACAGTCCAGGTAGAGTTTGATCTTGAAATGGCTCACTGCCACATGCACCTGGGTGACAGGTGGAAAGAGTCAGGTTGGACCTCTGCTACAGGACAGGGGCGTCTTCTAAATGCTAATGCTAAGGCTTTCTGCTCAGTTCCCACACCTAGTGCTCTTACAACTTGTGACATGTTTTTAATAAGCAAATGGATCAAAACCATATGGGCTGGAGATTAGGTTTCAATATATGGTGTGTTTGCTACGCAACAATGCACTCCTCCCTGACATTCCCCTGCTATACATCAACTCTCTTTGGGAGTTATAGTATTAAGTAATTCAGTTTTCAGAACTAGCTTAATAATGGACCTGCCTACAGATACTGGCAAAAAGTGCTCATTGCTCATTTGGGTGGAGTACCTTTGCTTTGAGAGGATATAGAGGGCTAAAAAAAAACCCAACAACCCTTATAAAAATTTGGTGCCTTTCACACGAGGCTAGACATGATTTTTTACATCCTTCCAGCATTTAATTGTCATCAAAATCCCAAATTCTAAAAAAAAAAAATTGATTTTTAAAAATTTCCTCGTTTTTAAGACATCCAAAAAATTTAATTTTTAGAATTTCTGGGGAGAAAGGGAAGGAGCTTGCCAGGAAACCTCTCCTCCTCCTCTTTTCTCTCCATCTCAGTCCACTCTTATCAACTCCCTAGCAGTCTCTGAGTCATACTGTGGGAGGCCCTTCAAAATGGTACTTCAATACAAAAATCCCTTTTCTTCAACTAGATAAGGGAACCCAAGGCTTGAGGGAGCTTGAGGGCTTTCCTCTTATCAGTTTCTAATGCAGTCTTCTGGACTCAGAGTTATTAATTTGTGACTGAAGTCAATATCCATGACATTAATTGAGATGATGTTTGCTACTTTAGGAAAAAAGGGATATTTTTCTCTTGCATATTTAACACAAAACACGTACATTTCACGGATCTCATTCAGGCCTTCTAGGCAGCAGGCAGTACAGCATGGGCTGACTGATGGATGTGACATTAAATCCATGCAGCATTTGTCACTGCTTTGAAACCCTTCTGAAAGGCACTTAAGCAAATTCATGTCACTCCAGCCTTCAGCAATACCAAAATCCTGGCCCTTAGCACTTGGCTACACCCTGTGGAAGGGGAAGCTCTGATCAGGAGGTTGCAAAGGTCAAAATACACTGCAACTGCTTTCCTTTGAACTGGGCCCCAGGTGGGACTTGGGCTCAAGTTCTGGGTCTGGCTTGATGAGAGATGTGATTCACTCTCCGGAGGAGATTTTAGTGTAAAATCTGGACTCAGATCTGAACCTCAACATAAATCAGGGCTGTAGGAAGCTGCGATTTAGTTTGGGTACATCTCTGTTTCACTCCCCTTGCTGAGTTTATTTATAAAAGCAGGAGAATCTGATCTGTGCACTTGCAGTGCTAAGCATTTTTAGACCTAGTGATGTATCACTGGCAGAACAAAAAAGACACTAATTTTATCAACTGGACTTGACTGGAAAATTGAAGGGAAATTTAGGCAACAGTAATGGTGACAGCTTCTTGCTGACATTAGCTCATATTTGATACAATACAAATAAAGTTACAACAGAATTAAAAGCTAGAAATGAGCTCTGCCTCTTTAAATTAGAGCTGCTCTATCTGAATTTAGGTCATCAGTCCTAGCTAAGATGATAAATATTCAGAAACAGGGTCATAAAGGGCAGCTTCTCAGGTCCTAAGGTGGGCTGAGAGGTGCCTCGATGATTATATTTTCCTGGGAGTGTTTCAGCTGTGGCAGGTGGGCAGGAACACAGCACTGCAGGAGTTACGCTGCTGAAAAACCCCAGGCAGAAAGTGCTGCAGTGACTGATGACAGTATTACTGGCTGGAAAGGGATGGTAAAAAGCCAGGAACCAGAGAGGAACTGGAAAGGCAGAGCCACAGGGCAGCAGACAGCCATCCCTGCAGGAAATCATAGCCTCTTCGACAGGCAGCCCCAGCAGATGGGCCCTACACTAAGAAAAAGGAAGCATTTGCAAAAAACAATAAGCTGTTTGTGGCCAATGACTGTGAAAACAGCCCCAGCTCCTGAGTCTCTGCTATTGCCCTTCATTCCTTCCTGCCTCTAGATCAAGCTCATCACTGCCCTCAGTTTTCATGTTCTCCTGGACTGCCACCTTTCTGGCACTTGTGCTACAACCTCCTCCTTGGCTGGGGGTTGTTCCTCCGTGTACACCTAACAGTGCCTGTCTCTTGTCCTTGGGACCACCCTGCGAGCTCGGTGCTGCTGGACTTGTCCTCTGTCCTCAGTGAGCAGCGGTACCAACAGCTCCTGTTGAGGTGTGACAATACCAAATCTATACGTAAAAGCAGCCTTTGGGACCATGTGGGACTTGCCCCCAGCACTGACAATGCTCAGCATCCTGTCAAGGCAGCCCAGCTTTGTGTGCCCAAGCAAGGAGGGATTTGTTCCTAGGTAATAAATTACAGGGATATTTTGGATCTTTATCCTTAGGCTTTGCCTCTACACAGGCTTAACCATGAAGACATGAATTACCTGGTTACAGAGGGACCACTTGCATACTTTGTTCTTGAATGGCTATGGTTTCGAGCTAAGTCCCCCAAAAAAGACAGTGCAGCTGACAGCTAGCTTGACCTCTTCTCTGCGACTATGTACCACAGGGACCACCATATCACACCAGAAAGAAACAAGTACACATTCTCAAAAATGAATTGGCTGGGGACAAAAATAATCAAGGTGACAGAGTTACAGGATTATACAATTCATAAAATGCATCCCTTAGAGTAAAAACACATGTTTTATGCAGGGAAGTTGTATCTTTAGAAAAATGTATGTATGAAAATATATGCTGTATGAATACATACTGAAATGGCAAAGCTTCATCTTTTACAAGGAAGCTTATAGTATACATTCTGTATAACTTTTTCTATGCCATTTCACGTTACTACCACCTATTACACATAAAAATGATGGTCACAATGTGTGGCTATAATTTATCTATCCCCATTAGTCTTTATAAAATGGATAAATGTGCAATGCATTTTAAGAAGCAATCAATGTGTGAAAATCGTATATTGTGCACATGGGATGAGCCCAAATTCTTTACAGTTATACCTTCAGCATATCAAATAGGTTTGCCAGTTCCCTAGCAGCCTGGTTGCAAAGCATTTTTGTAATCATGACTCAATTTGAGCAATATACATTGTTGGCATAATATTCTCAGACTGGCGTGAGATCAAGAGCTACATTTCTCCCTCTCTTGATAAGGACCTTATGAAAGCTCCCATAGAATATCTTCTTCACTTCCTGTTGGTCAAAGGAGACTTCCTGTAAATCAGCCTTGTAGTCATGATTGAAATAGGTCAAGGATTTCTTACTGGCTACAGGGAAAATAGGACAAATAACAACTTAGAATTAAAAGAGAATTTGATTTCACCCACATACTGAACAATAATAAATAAATAGGCTTAAACATGGTGAAAGACTTAATATTTCACAATCAAATATTTCCAAGCAGTAGAAAAGAAAAATAATATGTAAAAATAAAGAATATGTTATAGATGGAATAAAAATGAAAACATAGTTTTTACTTGCACTGAGAAACATTTAAAGTCCTATGTTGGCAGCAGCAGCAAAGCTTCCCCATGACTGCTGCTGTGTAACAAAAACATTAAAGTAACAAAACTGTCAATTAAATAAAGAAATCAGTTCTGTTGCTCCTAGAAATGTATAAAAAACACCTGAATTTAATCTATTCATCATGAAAACTTACAGTCAAGGATAACACCAAGGAGAGGCTGGAAGTCCTCATCTGTTATTTGCCACACAGCAAAGGGCTCCTTGGAGGTCTCAGGCAGGAGGCGGAGTAAGATGCTGATGGTGTGCTCAGGTGGAACTGCAAAGAGGTGCACGTCGCTGCAAGGAGACAAGCCGAGGAAGCATCAGTGGCTTAAGGTGACAAATGTCAGCAGGCAGCATCCTTCAAACAGACATGATTTGCCTGTGGTGTTCCTCAGGTATGATGGCCTAGAAAAGATTAACCTGTGGGAATGAAACACAGGGCCAAATTCTCTCCTGGCACAATCCATGACAATGGAACAAGATACATCAGGAGAGAACCTGGCCCTTAGTTTGTGCATTCCTTTCATGTTTCCAAAGTCTGAGCTGAAGCCGAAGCATGCACCATGAGGCCCTCAAAGGGCCTTCTCCTCATGCCGTGCAGAGGTGCAGGTGAGGTTGTCAGTGTCAGACCACCGCTGCCTGAGCTGCCTCAGGGAATGCTGAACAGACAGTGTGGGCAGCCTTAATGTTTTTCAAAATAGAGCCCAGTGGTACCTTATAAAACATCTCTGCCAAGCTCCAAAACAATCCTCCGTTCTCCCCCAAATCTCCTCTTCAAGAAAGAGGAATGATGATCCTGTTGTACAGGGTAAATCATTAAGCTTTGGCAGAAATTTGTGGAAGTGCCCTTCAGGGAGAAGCATATAACCCACAGAAAGCTCCCTCTGGATCCTCCCAGTGTCCCAGCTGCAAAATTTGGGCTCAGCTCTGGAACTTGTGAACATGCAACAAATGCTGTCACCAGCTGCCGGGCACAACCCAGCTTCCTCCCAGCCATGTGCCAAACTTGTTAGAAAGCACCGGGCAGAAGCAATACTTAGATGATACAAGGCAATGAGGAAGGTCAAATTGGTTATGCCTGAAATACATCAGTAACGTGAAACAGCACACATTTGCATGGGCATATACACAACTCATCAAGCATCTTTCAGGACTGATTCATAAGTAATGTCAAGTTCTTATTTCTCTCTCTGTTTCTGAAGAAGTAATGTCACTGGAAAGGTATATGTACTAGCTGAACAAAAGGACTGGCCATAATTTTCTGAGTACTTAGACCAAAAAGCTCTCTGAATCTCCCCAACTCTGTTTATTCTAAGAAGCTTTGCTTCTGTAGTTAAGATTAAACTGAGCCACTGCCTCAGTAATTAGGCTTAAAACAAAGTAGCACTGCATGTCAATCATTCCTGATTTATAATCATAAAAAATGACAGGTCTCTGGAGCTGCCTGGGCCAAAAGTTGGCCTGCTGCAACCTGTGGGACCCTGAGATGAAGCCTACAACGCAACAAATGAGGTAAAGTCACAACCCAGATTCAGTGGTTAATCCTTCTCATCAATAATGACCAACCTGCTGAGAGCAGCTATGAGCCAAACATTTTCTAAAAGCAAGTATCTGTCTCCAAATCAGAGATGCTGGCAGAAAGGGTTGAAGATGAAAATGTGACCTCAAACTTCCATCATTGAAGTGTCCATATTTATGGACAGAATGCCTAAAGAATAGAGTATTATCAGTATATATGACATAATTCTTGTATCCCTCACAGCCTGTTGCCAGGTATCTAACAATGCTGGAAAAAGTGATTCTGTAATAAGGAACATACTCACAGTCTGAAGATTTTTGGCCATGCCAAAAGAAAAAAAAGAAAAAAAAAAAAAAACCATGAGCTCTATTCTGTCCTATTAACTTCTGCATGATATATTCCAGATTCTGGTTCATCTTGAGACAAGTCAGAGGTTAATTTCTTGATATATTAAGGAAAAATAATCTCTGGCATTTTTTTCAGTCTATCAGACTCGTGGACAACTCCAGACTCACGGAGTTTAAAGACTCGCTGTCTGTATAATCTCATTTTGAATTTGCCAGTGCAGCTGAATCATTCATGCACAAATTAGTGACCATTCTTTGTTGTGAACATAGCTAATGTGTATGCATCAGACATATGCTCAACATGAAGCTGATCACAGCTATGTTCCTAAATTACCTGGTTCTCTGTGTGAGCTGAATATCTTTGAACAAAGTGTAGGTACGGGAACCGCTGAATACAAATGGCTCCATAGCTACTCCTTTAATGGAGGCATATTCCTTCTCTACTAATCCAAAAGCTTCCATCATATCAAATCCTGGAACAAAGAAAAGCAGAAAAATAAATGGTTAGAAAATAGTGCAAATATCTTGTAAAGGAATTCCCTGCGTTGTGACAGGGATTTGCTGTTTTCAAACATAGATAAAGGGGTAGGCAAACTGGCACAACCGGCAGTCAGTCTGAACTCGAGATCTGTATGAAAACAGGGGGTCCAAGGAGGGTGAAAATTTGCCTCTTTGGCTTAATTGAGGTGTTCACAGATCCAGTTCCCTTGGGATCTCAAGAAAACAAAAGTGGACAATGCCAATGCAAAGAACTAGTTGAACCATTTTTCATCAAGGCTTCTCAGAGCAGAGAGTAATTCTGTGAATCGGCTGGCAGGCAGCATGACCAGCAAATCAGGCAACACTTGTGGGGTTGTTTCATGATGAAACAGATTTAAAAATAAGTAAAATCTTTCATAAAGGAAACTCAACTACTGTATCAAACCTGAAAGGAGGTATTTCTGCCTGCACATTTCTCTGTCCTCTCCCCAGGAAAGCAGTGTGACTGCAGAGTATGCAGAATTAGCTTTTAGGTAGCGTGGAGAAGGCAATAGAAGGAAAGGCCACAGCAGCGCAGACATCAGCACAGGCTGTACAAACTCAGTGGAAACCTGGAGCATATACCACAAGTGGTAGCCAAGGAAAATAATGTGCCCCTGTACCCTCTGCATACATTTGCTGTAATCACATCTTCTCTTGTAGAAGGGTATACAACAAACACAGACTTTCATAATTTTGTTTTTAAATCTCCAGATTAGAAAACAAATGAGAAAGAAGTTACTCAAACAATTTTTCCTTTTCAAGTTGATGCAAAAATATTATCTTCAAAAGACATGGAATCACTCCAGTAATTGCTAGCATGGAGGAAGAATTATCTCTGCTCTGAAATGCCTCATATGCAAGAGTCATAAAAATCATGAAAGAACTTCAAAATATGAGCATTTCCATTTCTCTCTGTTTTCATGAAATACCCAGAGGTGACCTGCCTTATACGGTCTACAGAGAGTCTACCCTGACATCTTTGACATCCCCTCTCTGGCTCATGCAGCTTCATCTCACTTTCCCAGCTCATCATTAAAGCCCTGAGTCATTTTCTCATTTCAGTTTTCTTTTCACTAAGACAAGATCTTGCAGTTGGGATTCTTTTTTTAGTTTATCTGAATTTGCAGCAGGCTGGGATGAGGAAGATATCTAGTTCCTTAGAAACAAGAAGGGCTACAACTTCATTACAATATGGTCCTTTCAGTCTGGATTTCCGCACTGCTTCCCCAGTTACCATTTTCTGTAGTGGTTTGGCTCGGGATATTATTTTGTATGGGGGCTGCTAGAAGGTGCATTTTTTTCATTTCCCAACAATGCTAGGGAGTTTGTCAAAAGAAATTACCTGCTGAGAGCTATTTATCTCTGAAGCATGGTCTTGGCACTGGAACTACATTAAAACGTACATTAAATATAGTAGCATAAAGACTGAAAGTGAAGCTAAAGTCACAGTTATAATCATGCTGTAAACCTGCTGTGTAATGGATTCAGGGAGCTGATAAGGAAATGGGCTACTCCTGCTGCCATTGCCAAGAGGATCTCGAGAAGGAGAAGGCAATGTTTGCTGTGGCTCTACGATTCAGTTGCTTTAACAGACACCTAAGCTGAGTGCTTCCCAGGCATCGATGCACTGCCTCATGGTAGTGGTAAGGTAAGTGGTGGGAGCTGAGCATAAGATTCAGCGACTTGCCCAAGGAGTAACAGCAGAGCTGAAGCCAGTTTCTCAGTCTCACACATGTTGCCATGCTCTCTGGGAAGGAAGTGATATCAACTTATAGGCAGAATAACTTGCTTTCTAGGTAGAAAATACATACAACAGCCCCAACAGTATAAAGGGGATGTGGCACAGAGAGGATACATGAGAACATGTTATCTTAGCTGTTTGTACAGCTGGACTTCAGAGAGCACTTTAGGATGCAAAGGTGATCTTGGTGATAGACTGCAATTTTCTTGTAAGGACCCTGTATGAGTTAGGAAATTGAAATTCTCTTGGAATTCAACACACATTTCAAGCCTAACTTCTTTAAAGCCAGTGAAAATCTCAGTATTGAACACTAACAGCTGAGAGCAAAAGCTGATGGGACAGCAGGGGCAAATCAATTCAGTTAGTGCAAACTTTTACTGGGAGAGGAGGGCAAAGCACATGGAGGGGATGGAAGCACAGCAGGCTGAAAAGACAAGGGAATACCAGTATGGGAAGACGTTCACAACTAAAAGAGAACATTTGAAAACAGATTTTGTTTTGAGAAGACTGTCCTGAGGCATTACAATCCTCAAGCAATCTCACACATGGCCTGATTAAACCATCTTGTCAGAAGCCCTAAATCCAGCCATAAGGGTGATATATGGGAGGCAAATGCTGCCTTTCCCCTCTGATGGAAGCAACAGACAAGTCGGGGAGAAATAAAAGATGGCACTTGTATGAGAAGGGCTGTTTGTACCCAAGCTGCTGAGAAGGGAGATAAGTGCTGAGCCAAGACTTCTCTCCTGGCCTGGAAGCTGTAACGGTGACTGTGAGGGTGCAAAGCAAGAGTCAGGGGAAAACCACCAGGAACCTTCATCTAAACAATCCCCAGTTAGAGGGTGGTGAAACCCTGAGCCCCAAAGTTTTTGCAAAGATGATAGAATATTTCGTTGTGGAAGTTCTTGCAGTACTGGAAAAATACAGACAGGCAGAAAGACATCACACTCAGAGGAGCTCGTGACCTGGCAGCTAGCAAACTACCCAGCTTGGGGAGGTGCACATTCAAGTAACGTGAACATCAGTGTCCTGCAGCCAACTGCAGCTTCATCCCCAAGTGCTCCTTTTGCTGTCTACCCCATCTGGACTCATCCTGTTGTGTATATTTAACATTATATATTCACCGGAGCAAGGAAACGAGGATGCTGTCCCATGCCTCAAAGTGCCTTGAGCAAGAGAGTCATCCTCTTTCTGTCACCTAACAAATAATTATTCATATGAAATCAATTTGTTCCAACAGGAAAGACAAACTCTTACAATAACAGCCCAAATCCTGACAAGAAGAGCAATCACGCTGGATACAGGAGGGGTCAATTCTCTAGCAGAACAATAATTTAACCTATGTCTTCCATATTCTATGAATATACTCTAACCTTTCCGGTTTGGATCAGTATCTGTCTCTATTTCTGTCCCTCAGCTTGCAAGGTCGTCGTCTTTGTCAGCATTTGACAGGTCTCAGGTTTTACCTGATAAAGGATATTTTCCTATTACAGTTCTCAGGCTTTGGCAGGACTGGAAAACCATTTCCCCTCTGTTCAGGTGTTGCATACTTCTGAATAGACAAGATCAGATAGCGCTTTTGCATTCACAACCTAGCACCTAGGGACATGATACGATACTGTACCTCGCACAGAGCCTTCAGGGGAGCTGATGGTGGGGCAGGCTGTAAGAACAAAATAAATGGAAAACAAACATTAGGGAAAAAGACAGTCTTGCTAGGGGATTACAGAAACAAAAGAGAGAGAGGTCCTCTGTGCAGAGGAATAAAAGGTACGGGGAAAGTTAAGTCAATATTACATTATTCCACATCTGAGTTCAGAGTCTGGCATTGAACCTTGCTTTTATATTTATTCATATATATGCATATACATATACATATATATACACACTTTATATTTATGCAAACATAAATGTTTTCAAAGTTTTCCTTGGCTTGCCTATCACATGAGCAAATAAAAATAATGCTTTTCACCAGACTTAATATTCACTTTCTTTTGACTAAATCAGCACCATATTCAGCATGTTTCTCTTCAGTTATAGACATCTAAATGCTACTTTTTAAAAAGTACTGCTTTTACTGAAACAAGCACCTTAATGGTGCCATAAATAGAAGAACATATCTGCAATCCCAATTTTTGCACCTGAGACTCATCTTAGCAAAAATACATCTCTCAACCTCATTTTTAAATAGCATTACATTTAGTGTTACAGTTCCTGGAAAGGGAAAAAATAGCATAACAAATAATGCTACATTTCCCAGAAAGGGGGACAACACAGTGATTTTCCCAACATTATTACATATCTCTGCTCCTTTAAATAAATTACTTTGTAAAACATGCAGGATTTAATATCTCTCCTATTGTCTTTTCAGCTATCATAGCCATATATGCCATACTAAATTCTGTAGAGGCTCACCAAACTTATGGGATCATTGATGTCTACTTAAAAGTTCACAGGACTTTTGCACTGTGGTCTGAACACCTGTAGATTTTGTCAATAAGCCACTTGAAAATTTAATCTGATATTTTCTTTGTTTGCTACAAACTACAATTTTCTCAGCCGATCTGCTTTATTCTTCCTTATTGGCTTCCCTCAATAAGTTTTAAAGCTGAAGTTGCATTTAGAATCATTTCAAATAGATAGGAAAGGACATTACTGCAACAATATCTGTATTCTAATATTGGCTTCTTATCAGCTTTTTATAACCTTGTTAATTCAACATTTCTCACTAATCCACTTCGTAGTTTGCTTTATATCATCTATGAGAACATATGCTCATTAAATTTAATAAGGGACTTTACACAGAATTTTAATTTAAAACATGTCATCATTCTCTTTGCTCCACTTTGGTCAAGTTGTGCAGAAATCCTCTAAAAATACTATCAGTCTCTTCACTAAACGAGTCTGATTTTAAGAGGTTGCATGGTTTCAGGCTTTTCTTTTCATAGCATAAGTCCCCACAGTCATCTGTCAAGACACAATATACCCATACTTCCCTGCCTTGCAAGGACTAAGCAATGTGATTTGTTATTGGAAAAACTAAAGCAATACTTTATAGCAGGTGATTTACCCTCTGTTTTAGATGGAACAAATCCTCGTATTGAAGGGAGTTTAAACAATACAGGAGCTGAAAGAGAAAACAACACGCATGAGTGCTGTTATTCAGGGCCATGATAGCTAGCTCAAGACCTGTATGGTTGCTAGCCCTTCTCCATTATCCTGGAATTACATCCTGGAACAAGAAATAATGCATAGGAGGAGTGCAGAGATTAGGGCAGGCTTTTTTTTTTTTTTTTTCAGGGATAGCAGTCTGCCCTGATTAGCAAAACCCTGGCCTTAATCACAGTCCAGGGCAAGCAATGACATCACCCCAGAGAGGTTGCCTTGGGATTGATGGATGACGGGTTAAGAACAATGCACAAACAATGACTCATTCACTTACCCGTTCGGCCAGTTGTGGACATGCTTTCACTCTCTCCTGTGTTGTGGACAGCAGAAACGGTCACCTTATAGGCTCGATCAGGCAGCAGGGACTGCAGGGTCACACTGCTGCTTTTGCCAGAAGCCATTATCTACAGCAGGACGGAAAAAGAGCCCAGCGTTGGTGCAGACTTCCCTCTTCAGCTCTTACTCGCACCTTGGGGTCACACAGAGCTGTGAGTCCCAAGACAGCAGGGCTCAGGGCAGCAACCTCATCTAGTTCAGACCACAGTAAAAGCAAACCAAGGAAGCCTGGCTATGCATTGACATCAGACTGGCTGTGTCCAGGGGAAGAGCAGTTCCCTATATAAACACCCCAATACTCTCCACATAGGCATTTTCACATGGGTCAAAAATTCCTTATGACATAGCAACCAGGCCGGGCCTGAGTAGAAAAATCCTGAGTTTTAAAGGTTAATGCTTAACCTCCGCAAGTCAGAGGGGCAGTAGATTTATCCTCTACCCCTCTCCCTCTGAGTATTCCCCACTGTGGTTCAGAAAGGGGAGAAAGCTGCATCAGCAGCAGCTTTGGTGGACACAAATACCTGATTAGCAAAGAAGCCTGGAGGAGTTTGGCTCCTCTACAGAACTAGAATCCCTTTCCAGTGGTCAAAAGTCTGCCACACAGCAACATGCTGTCAAGTCAGGGGAAGCGGTTTCCTGCAAACCAGTTATCTCTAAGGTAAACCCTACTGGCATGAGCAGAGTTCCTTGAGTCATGAAATTGTCCCCATGTCCCCCTAGTCCACAGCCTGTCCCCTACAAAGGAGCTGAAGACCTACTGTTTGCTGAGCGCTGTTCTCAGAAACAGGGCTGTAGGTGATTTTGTAGTGCTGTATGCGGCCATCAGGGGGTTTCCAGTGGACCTGGAGGCTGGTGGGGGTCTCGGAGTCAATGAAGAGGTTGGTGGGTGGGCTCCGGGAACCTGCAGCAGCGATTAAAGGTGAACTGCATAACAAGCAGATAGTGATGTCTAAACTGGGCCAACAACATTGCTTTCAGACCTATTACTGAATGCTTCACTGCTCTGTTGCACTATTAACCAGAGATCAGAGCAGAAATAGTCACCTCAGGGATCAGGAAGGAAAGACAATAGATCTCAGATGGAGAAGATGAACCAAGTTTGCTGGCAGATGAATCAAGCTGGATGCTGTTGCTGTGCATCACCACAAGATAAAGTGGAGCAGAAAGCAAGTGTGGAAGGAAAAGTTGCTTCAATAGCACTATGATTTAGTGCTAGGCTATATCTCTGCCTCTGCATCTTTGCTATCTGTACTGGCTATTTCATTCAGCTGAGATAAGCTAGAGACTGTTTAAGTGAACAAAGGGGGAAGTTAGGGGAAGTCTTCCAAGTTGGGTTTATTTTGGAAGGCCCCCAGGCCTGGCAAAATTTGATGGCATGGATTTGACAGCCAGGGGAAAGGTCACTTTTCTAAGCTGTTCAGGAGGAAAGAAGCATCTCTGACACAGGGGACACCATCTGTGCCTTCCACTACTTCAAACCTTTGCTCTCTGTTCCTCCACAGGAGGAATCTCAGACTGCTCACTCTTGGGTCTAACTAGCATAACAGACACATTTTCAAATATGAGCCCACTCCATCAGAATACTCATCTGCAATTATTACATAGGTCATAATTTTGCCTTCGTTGCCATGGGTTGAAGCCTCTTCCCCCCATTTCAATCCCTTTCATTTGCAATGTATAGCCTGCAGAGAAGACCTCATCTAGGAAGCTAGAGAGAGAAGTTGAAGACATTTATCAGCCCCAGGCTGGAGACTGCTGCCTGCATAGCTGAGCTAGAGGAATTTGTTACTCACTTCAGTGCAAAGTCAGCCAGGTCAGCTCTGCCCAGCTTCGGCAACAATTCTCATTCAAACTGATGACTTTGCATTGAAGATGATGAGCTATGGTCACGAGATCTGTTCAGCCAGCTCTGCTGGCAAAAATTTGCAACTAAGGGACAGTATACAAGCATATCAGAGAGGATGGGGAGTGGGTAGAGGTAACATTTCAAAATGCCCCAGCTATTTGTAAATAAAAACTTCCTAAGTCCGTATTTACTAATCTTTGTCTGATGTTGCTTAGGCTGAAGGACTTCTTCTCTTTCATGACCCTGCAGCTGTGGATCTGTCTGATGGAGTCACAGCCCAGTTTGTTCCTCTCTCTCTGCCTGGAAAAGCCCATGCTAGCAAACAACTAAGGTTCAGAAACACAACTGGGGTATGATGGCTTACCAGGTAACCATTCCTCCACTGAGCCATGATTCCTCCTCCTTGGGACATAATGTCACTTCACTTTAAACTTTTCCAGCAATATTTGAGCTACATCTGATTATCATACCTAAGCATAGATTGTGAGCGCATACCCAAACATTTATGGTGATAGTATAATTCAGCCAAGAGGTTGAATATCTTATTATGCTGCTGTAATTCAGTTACATATTCAGTAGACCTTAAGGTCCTGCATTTGTGTCCCGGTCCCAGAGTCACATCAGAGCCCTTCTGCTGCAGGGCATCACCATGCTGCCAGTCGCAACAGACTGCTAACATATCCTCCGAGGGACAGTCACATCACCGCTGCCTCAGAGAGCTACTTCGGAAATGCAGTGGCAGAAAAAGATCCCAGTATCTTTGTTCTTTAGAACAAATAGCGACAATTTTGTTCTGCTCAGGGGAGAACAGGCAGACGCGTTTACCTCAATGTGAGATTTCTTTTTTCCCCTCAGTATGAGAGAGGTCCTTGTCTGCTTCTGAGCAAGGATAAAAGTAATTCCTTCCAGATCTTTCCAAGGATCACTGGCCAACACCCCTTCTGTGCCCCTGTAGCTTCCTCTCCAAAGTAGCATCCTCTGAACTCCCACTAGTTTGCATGAAAGGTTTGTGTCCTTTTCAAGGATCGTGGAGGTTACTTATTCATGTGACAAATGATAGCAGTGTGTAGACCCTTTAGTCAAGGATAAGGACTTTGTTATGCTAGACAATTTATACCAACATAATGAAAGGACAGCTCTTAACTCAAATGAGTCTTCAGTCGAAATATAACAGAGACACAAGAAGATACCATGTGTTCCATTGTTCTGTTGTAACAATTTTGTTATCCTTGGCAAATATCTCAGTCTGCTGTTGTTCCTACTCTGGGTCTTGGTAAGCCTGTAGATAAAGGTTTGCTTAACTGGGGTACTGGAAAAAAAAATCCTAAACTTGTTTTTTTTCCCTTAGCCATAATTAAGAATCAAAATATGTGCTCCATGCATTTTCTGGTGACTAGAGAAATCCCCCCTAGGCACTAGGTTTTCAATTAATTTTTAGACTTATAAAAGTGAAGCAACAGCAGTGAGGCACTTACAGAACCTGGGTTGGTCCAGCTACACATCTTAACACCCGAAGTAATTATCAGTCCCTCTTGACCACTGAATACTTAATTACGTCATGGGAACCTAAACACTAAGCATGGAGCTACAAGATAAAAACCTGCAGCATATGAATCTTTCTCCAACTTTTGTTCCTTTTCCAGACAAAGCTATTCAGCCAGCTTAAACTGAGTTCATAAGTACTTTGGGGAAAAATCAAACTTAATTCTGAAAAAAATTTTCTGCCTGCCAAGAAAAAGAGAAGCCTTAGCCCAAGCCTACAGAACAACATATTGCAATGATGGACAGGTTTTAGGAGGGAAGATGATGTTTCTGCTGATAGGGCCCTGTTTTCTGTGAGATTTCTGCAGCATCCCTTTAGCATAAACCATCTGACCTTGAAATGAGATGTTTCACCTGGTGCAAGAAGAAAAGTGGTCCTGAATAAAATAAACTTGGTGTTCCCGCCTCACCCTGAAGGGAGGAATACAGCTCTGCTTCACAAAACCGGCATGCAAAGAACATCACTCTGACCTGACTTTTTTTTCCCCCTTAACCTTCAAGAAAACAGTATACAGGGGAGACTGAAGGACAAAGAGATAAGCATGTGTTACCAGCACTTCCTGCTG